AAAAAAAAAACTCCATATTTTTTTCTTGTTTTGGTATAAATGAGTAAAATGCCAGGTCTTCTTTTTTTTTTTTTAATATTTTATTTTTAAGTACTCTCTACACCCAAAGTGGGGCTGGAACTTATGATCCCAAGATCAAGAGTTACATGCTCTGCAGACTGAGCCAGCCAGGTACCCACCAGTCTTCTTAATATTATGAAATTTTTTGTTTTCATTAAAAGTTTACCAAATTGGATTCAGTTTACTATTTGTGTTGACCTGAATGTTTGTGTCACCTCCAAATTCACATGCTGAAATCCTAACCCCCAAGGTGATGCTATTCAGAGGTAAGGACTTTGGGAGATGATGAGGTCATAAAGGCACAGTCCGCATGACTGGGATTAATGTCTTATTAGAAAGAGGACCCACAGAGTTTACTTGCCCCTTCCACCATGTGAAAACAGCAAGAAGATATGGTCATCTACAAACCAGGAAGAGGGTCCACACCAGATACCAAATTTGCCAGAGATTTGATCTTGGACTACCAGCCTCCAGAACTGTGAGAAATAAGTTTCTTTTGTTTATAAGTCACTCTCTCTATAGAATTTTGTTATATTAGCCTGAAACTAAGACATTGTTCATATTTTTTAAGGATGTTAATGCAGCATACATTTTACTAGTCAATGTTTACATCTCTGGGTCATATTCTAAACTAGCAAAGATATAATCTGTGTCCTTAGGAGCCTAATATACTGTACAAGACACTTTAGGTTAACATTGATCTATTGATTACTTTATTGATGCCATTGTGGTAAGGCTATTCAACCAGCTCTCAATCTACCTAACTGTATAACTGAGTTTTATTGCAACAAATGACTATAAGATTATCATCTGAGACTGTACCAAATGCTTTCCCCTAATCAAGTTATAAAACATCTAAGCATGATCATGGTATAGCAATCTAGCAGCCCTATCAAGAAAGGAACAAAGTTTAGTTGATTTTGTCTTATGTTCAAGTTGATCATAACTTATGTTGGCTCCTGATTACTCTCACTCTTTTCCAAATTTTGCAAACTATCTTGTTAGTAATCTGTTTTACATTTTTGTTAAAAATGAAACCCAGAATTTAGTACATAGTTTCTAAAAAAACCCTTTCCAATTCATTTTTGGAAATCAGGATACATGTTTCTATCTCCAAAATTTAATCTTCTTTCTCATTTTATATGAGACTTCAGTTTCTATATACGCTGACACTAACACAAAAAGGCACATTTTAATAGAGATTTTAGGGGACCTGTAGTTTCATTTCAATTCCACCAGAATTTTGTTGGATTTTAAACAGAATCTCTATGGTATTCTCTATGATATTTGTTCTATATTTTTCAGTTGGAAAGTCATGTTACTTGACAGAGAATAATAAGGTAAAATGGATTTAAAATTTCTCAAACTTCTTTCTTTAATCTGTTGACATTTATCATCTTCTCCATGCAATGAGCCTCTTCCTTTGTTCTTACTGCTTTAAAACTTTTTTGAAAAACCCTTTTAATTTACCTTAAAATTTCCCACAAGTCTCAGTTAGTTTGAGGTACTAGAATCTTCAACAATGTTGGTTGAGTTTTGTGATATTCTCTTATATTCTGGTCATTTGAAGCATTTCTTCATTTAAAATTTGAATCTCTTCCACAGTAGGTTATTGATAATACATATCATATGTACATGTTTTCTTGCTTTCTCACTTGAATAATCTACTTGGAGTTCTTAGTTACTTACTGTGTTTTCTTTTCTTAGAGTGGAAGACAGAACAAAAGAATAAATATCTATAAGTAGATATAATCAAGTCCAGAGATGGTTTCTGTTAATATTTTGGGAAACTTTCTTCCAAACTAATATTATTCCAACTGTGCAGAAAAAAATTATATTTATTAAGAGGATTAACCTCTGTATATCTCGATTTTATCACAGAAATGAGAATTACAATCTATGCCTAACTTCCCACTTTATGTTAAATGTTTCCTAGATATTTTATGGTGTCTCTATCACTATTATATCCGGGTTGTCAAAATATATAATTTTTAAGACATAACGATGATAATTATAGCCAGGTGGAAAGACAAATATTAGCATAATTATTGTTGATGTAATTATAATAATAAAACCACATAAATAGAGCTTATAGTTATAAGGAACCATTCTAAGCATAGTAGGTTTATATTTAATATTTTAATCTTCATTTTTTCCCTTTTGTTTTATTTATTTATTTATTTATTTATTTATTTATTTATTATTTTTAAAATACAGTTTATTGTCAAATTGGCTAACACACAGTTTGTAAAGTGTGCTCTTGGGTTTTGGGGTAGATTCCTGTGGTTCATTGCTTACATACAACACCCAGTGCTCATCTCAACAAGTTCCCTCCTCAATGTCTGTCACCCATTTTCCCCTCTCTCCCCCCCACCATCCAGCCTCAGTTTGTTCTCTGTATTTGAGAGTCTCTTATAGTTTGCCTTCCCCCCTGTCTGTTTGTAACTATTTTTCATAACCCTTTAGATAGGTGCTTAGATTTTCAAAGCCACAGATGAACAAGGCACAAGATATTTTCCCTGTGCAAAGTGGAGTGAAGGCCAGAACTGAGAACCCTACATAAAATCCTATCTATGAGTTTTGTATTCAACTTTAATTAAAAGCTACATGACAAGAACTCAACAGATTGCAAAGGGAGATGACAAGAAACCTTATTAGTCCCAGCTTCCTCTAGGATAAAAAGTATAGTTTGTATTTTTACTTGTTAATCAGATGTTAGGTTCAAATTTGTACTACATGTACATTCTAGTAATCCCCAGTGACTCACTGTAAAGTATTTCTGGGACAATAATGCTCTAAGGCATCTGGTAGGAGCAATTGCCAAACTTATCTGGAAAAGTTCATCTTCAATCCAGGCCTTGAATTATTCTCACAGATAAAATCAAGTTGAAAACAATTGAAAATCAAAATACACAAAGAAAGATGTCACCACGAGTAAGAGTCAGCATAAACACCAATCATCAAATTTAAAGCCTAAAGAGCATGAGCTATTAAAAAGGTCTGATAAAGATAAATATGTTAAAAGTTCCTGGGGCGCCTGGGTGGCTCAGTCGGTTAAGCGGCTGACTTCGGCTCAGGTCATGATCTCGCCGTCCGTGAGTTCGAGCCCCGCGTCGGGCTCTGTGCTGACAGCTCAGAGCCTGGAGCCTGTTTCAGATTCTGTGTCTCCCTCTCTCTCTGCCCCTCCCCCGTTCATGCTCTGTCTCTCTCTGTCTCAAAAATAAATAAACGTTAAAAAAAATTTAAAAAAAATAAAAAAAATAAAAAAATAAAAGTTCTTAAAGATTTATAAAGATGGATGTCAAAACACACACACACACACACACACACACACACACACACACACACAAAGCAGGACACAGAAAACACAAGATGCTAAAGAAACTCTAAATGGCAGACTTTAAGAAAAGGTAAAATAAACACTGACAGAAGGAATAAGTTGCCAAAAAGAATGGTATACAAAAATATTGGTTAATGTTATCCATCTAAACCAAGGATGAGTAGACTGTGACCCACAGACCAATTCCAGCCCACCTTTTGTTTTCATAAATAAAGTTTTATTTGCTCACAGCCATGTTCATTATGATTAATTTTATGTGTCATCTTGACTGGGTCATGAGATGGTAAGACATATTGTCAAGGATAATTCTGCATGTATCTATTTATTCTATGAGGGTCTTTCTGGAAAAGATTAATATTTAAATCAGTACACTGAGTAAAGCAGAATAACCTTCCTAATATGGATGGTCCTTGTCCAAACAGTTAAAGGCCTGACAGGAACAAAAATTTATCTCTCCAAAAACTAAGAAGAAACTCTTCCCACCTGCCTTCAACTTGGGACATCAGATTTTATCCTGCCTTCAGACTCAAACTGAAATGGCTCTTCCTGGGTTCTAAGTCTACCATTTTTGAATCTACACCATTGGCTCTCTTGAGTCTCCAGCTTGCCAACTACAGATCAAAGGAATTTGTCAGTCTCCATAATCACCTTAGGCAATTCCTTATAAACTCTCTCTCTTTCTCTCTCTGTCTTTCTCACCCTCTCTTTCTCTCACTTCTATTTGGTCTATCATTCTGGGTAACCCTAACTAATATACTCATTCATTTATTCATTTTATGGCTACTTTTGCCAGAGAATAGCAAAGTTATTGAAACAGAGTGATTAGAACAGATATTATATGACTCGAAAGCTAAACATAGTTACTATGTAGCCCCTTACAGAAAAAGTTTTCAGATTACTGATCTACACTAACATGGACTATAAAATTATGATGATATCAATGATATAATGACAAGGACAGAAACTAACAGTAGAGTTAAGAAAATAAGGTGAAAGTGTAATGTTGGCCAAAAATAATATCCAAAATGGAAGATGTTTTTAAAATTAATGAGTTTTAAGATCCTTTCATTGACCGAATGAAAGGAGTAGATATTGATGAAAATTATATGTTAGGTCAATTATGTATAATACATTTTATTATTATTATTTTTAATGTTTATTTTTGAGACAGAGAAAGAGACAGAGCACAAATGGGGGAGGCGCTGAGAGATAGGGAGACACAGAATCCAAAGAAAACTCCAGGCTCTGAGCTGTCAACACAGAGTCCAACACGGGGCTTTTGAACTCACAAAATGTAAAATCATGACCTGAGCTGAAGTTGGACACTTAACTGACTGAGCCACCCAGGTGCCCCAATGTATAATACCATTCTAAAGGTAATCATGAAAATAAGTGGAAAGCATAACTTTAAAAATGTTAAAGCAGAAATACCTAAAATTTGTACGGAATCACAAAATACCCTAGAGAGCCAAGCAATCTTGAAAAAAAAAGTTGTAGGTATCACAATTCTAGACTTCAAGTTATATTGCAATGGTGTAGTAATCAGAATAATGGGGTACTGACACAAAAATATACATAAAGATGAATAGAACAGAATAGAAAATCCCAAAATAAACCCATAATTATATGGTCAATTAATCCTTGACAAAAGAAGCAAGAACATGCAATGGGAAAAGGAATGTCTCTTCAACAAATGGTGCTGGGAAAACTGGACAGAAAAATGGAAAAGAATTAAACTAGACCACTTTCTTACACCAGAAAAACAAATTCAAAATGAATTAAAGACTTAGATGTGAGACCTAAAACCATAAAAGTCCTGGGAGATAGCACATACAGGAATTCCTCTGACAATAGACATAGTAACATTATTCTAGATATGTCTCCTTGAGGCACGAGAAATAAGAACAAATATAAACTGTTGGGACTACATCAAAATAAAAGGCTTCTGAATAGCAAAACAAACAACCCACAAAACTGAGAGGAAGCCTACTGAATCGAAGAAGATACTTGCAAATGGCATATCTGATAAAGGATTAGTATACAAAATATATAAAGAACTTATACAACTCAACACCCCCAAACCAAATAATTCAATAACATCGACAGAAGACATTATAGCAAACATTTCTCCACAGAAG